CACTCGCTGGAGCACGAGGAGGCCATGAACGCGGCCTACTCGGGCTACGTCTACACGCACCGGCTCTTCCACCGCGGCGAGGACGAAGCCTACGCCGAGCCCTACGCCGACTACGGCGGCCTCCAGGAGCACGTGTACGAGGAGATCGGGGACGCGCCCGAGCTGGAGGCGCGCGACGGCCTGCGCCTCTACGAGCAGGAGCGCGACGAGGCGGCCGCCTACCGCCAAGAGGCCCTGGGCGCGCGCCTGCACCACTACGACGAGCGCTCGGACGGCGAGTCCGACAGCCCTGAGAAAGAGGCCGAGTTCGCGCCCTACCCGCGCATGGACAGTTACGAGCAGGAAGAGGACATCGACCAGATCGTGGCCGAAGTCAAGCAGAGCATGAGCTCGCAGAGCCTCGACAAGGCGGCCGAAGATATGCCCGAGGCCGAGCAAGACTTGGAGCGCGCCCCGACGCCAGGAGGAGGACACCCCGACAATCCTGGGCTGCCAGCATCTGCCGGGCAGCAGCGGGTCGTGGGACCCCCGGGTGGCGGCGAGGCCGGGCAGCGGTACAGCAAGGAGAAGAGAGATGCCATCTCGCTGGCCATCAAGGACATCAAGGAGGCCATCGAAGAAGTGAAAACCAGGACCATTCGTTCGCCTTACACCCCCGACGAACCCAAAGAGCCCATCTGGGTCATGCGCCAGGACATTAGCCCCACGAGGGATTGTGACGACCAGAGGCCCATGGATGGGGATGTAAGTATGAATAGGTACAGGCTGGCTGGACCCCAGGCCCTGGGGAGGGGAAACTTGAAGCTCTGTGACCTTACATGTCTGAGAAACGACTTTGGGGTACATGGTCTATAGGGGCGCTATGCACCTCCCCATGGTAGTTGTGCCCAGTGTGGTGCCAGCAAGAGGCTGTTAAGAGCGGACCCCACTAATCAGACCCATAAGGCATCCCTGTGCCTTGCAAATTGTACCAAGGGAACTTGTTGAGAGTTACATTCTTGGGCCAATGCCCACCCTACATTCCCCTCTTGGTGTTCCATTGAGAAAGTCTGAACTTTCTCAGTGGGGTCCTAGAATTTGTATCAAGTCTGCATTGAGTAATGATGAAGAGACTTGGTTGGAGAGGCTGTTGGCGAAAACGCCATCCTGAAAGTACAAAATCTGCAAGGGTTGCCGAGATGAAGGAACCCATGTGAAAAGAACAAGGTGTGTGGACGTGGGATGGAGCGCTAGCACAGGTGGGCATGGGATAAAGTTCTAACTGGAGACCAGCCTGTTCTCAGGTGTGTGGGGGCACCTGGGGAAAGGAGAGTAACTCTACCAAAGTCTAGTCTGTGGGCATTTTTTTTTTTCTGATTAATCAGCAGTTCAACCTAATCACACTTAAAAGGCAAAGAACGGCAATGTGGAGCGTCTGTGTCAAGCCCTGTTGTGAATGCACAGGGCACCAGAGAGTCAAGACAAGGAAGGGGGTTCTTTGCAGCAAACTGAAGCCTCAATCAAAAGTGGCTCTGAATTTAATCAACGTTTTTATTTTTAAGAACGGCGGGGTTCCGTGTTAGCCCAGCTAACAAGGTCCAGGGTTCTGCTGCTGACGCTAGGCCGCAGTTAGAGAACCATTGCCGTGAAGCTATATATATTAAAGATATGGACGGCACTATGGCCTCTTTCATGAAAATTCCCCTGTCCTGTCAGGTGTTGTGCGGCGTCCCCACCCTCCCCAACACACCCACATACACTGTGACTCCCTGAGGCGCCCAGTAAGCTCTAGTCCCGTCACAGAGGAGATGTTTTCTGTTTAAAACCGGATGTGCTTTGCTGTGAAGGGCCACAGGCAGAGCTGTTGCTGCCTCTGCCCACATCCTATTTGCCATTTTTGAAACCGGAGACCGTATGAAGCTCAGGTGTCACAGTCTGTTGAAAATAAATCAAGAAGACTAACCTTTGCCCCTCTGCCTTGCTGTAAAAATGCTTTCTGCCCTGACTGTCCCTTTTTCTGTACTCTTCCGTAATTTCTAAGCAATTTCATTTTAAGATGGAGCTGGAAGTCGGAGAAGGGTCAAGAGGTTAAATTCAGTTTCATTTCATCTGGTCCAGGTGCTGGCCTCCTTCATCAGCATCCTTAGCTCCTTGAAATGACCTGCTAACCACTTGACCCCCGGAGCTTCACTCTGAGCTGCCAGGATAGACATTGTTCATTTGAACGAGGAGGACACTTTAAGACTCTTGTGTAATGTTTTACTCAAAAAAAAAAATTATAAAATGCTGAATGAGACTTAGTATCCCGTACCATCAGAGATTTATCTTGATGCTAAGGAATCGGTGAGGAGGGCTTACTGGGGTACGAAGGGTTAACCGAAAGCAAAGCTATCTTTAAGTTGTTTGGATCTGTGGGTCATATTTCATCTGCCATGCTGTATTTATAGGGGAGACCTTCATGTGCTCCCTCTTTGATGGTATTATTCCCCCTCACCTCTGCTTCAGAAAAGTATTTACTGGAATCTCATTGCGCGCCTGCTGTCACAGAAAAGGGAAAGGCACTGTTGAAACCACTGCGCTCTGCAGTCTGCAGCAGCCTTGTTAAAAATGCAGATCGCTGCCCTTCTGCCTAAAGCACAACGCCTGAGGCAGAGCCCGCTGATCTGGGGGTTTGTTCTTGTTTCATAAATCCTCCCTGAGATCGCAACTGTATAAAAGATTGAGAGCCACGGAGTCGAAGAGGGGGGCCATTTAGGAGCTGTGCCTTCGAGACTTTCTTCAGTGAAAGTCTGTAGCTCTGCGGTTATGGTCTGCAGAAACAGAGGGCCCTGAAATTCTTAGTCCAAAGGCCACAGTGTGTTAAAAAAAAAAAAAAAAAAGGCGAAATCAAACAGTGCAAAGGAACAGGTGGTGGGTGCGAAGAGTCGGATTTCCAATTAGCAGAGGTAATTGCTAACAGCTACGTTTGCTTTTGACAGGCCTGCCCACTCCCCTGTAACCCCAACCTTGTACATATAGAATGAGCAGGCATTTGTTTGCTGGGGCAGTAGGCAGAATGAGAAGCAAGCATCGATTATCCACGAGCGTATGTTCTCTCTCCTGAAATGACCAATAGCTCGGCACTCGGCACCAAGTGAAAACTATTATTTTCTGAAGACCTGAATTTTGGTCTAGTAAGGACCTTCTATCTTCTGGCTATGTTCGAGAACTTCCCTCCAACCCCCTCAGTGGAAAATACTGATAGTGGATGACATGTTCTGAAAAGTCCCCTGTTCACCAACCTCTCTCCAGGCCGCACGGTGCATGCTGGGAGATTCCAACTACTCTGAATGGTGGGGCACGTTGATAGCTGCTCACTTTCACCCTCTCCTAAGACTTTATTAAAACTATAGTAAGGCAGTCAAACAGAAAGGAAACTGCTGCTGAATTCTTTGCTAACGCTGGACATTTTCATGCTGGGCCATCTTTCCAGTTCCCTTTCAAGTTAGAGACGTTCCTAGGAGGCAAGGCCAGTGACACGTGCGTTCGGAAGTGTATCACTGGCAGGAGCAACAGAGACCAGTCTTCATGCTTTAATTGCAGTAAACCCGGAAGTCACGTGGTAACAATTGAATGACCCTGAGAATAGCAACAGTCAACTTCCCCAGAGTGAGCAGGATTCCCTGGTGACCCCAGTGAGACATGGAGGCAACCTGAGTTGAGGTCACAGGGATTGAGGGGTTGGTTGGTTCCCACTGTGTGGCCTGATCAGTACTGAGTAATTCCCTGGGGAGGTTTCCGCTTCCTCCTTTCTACTGAGATTTCTGAGGATTTGAACATAGACACCTCTGAAAGGCTCGGGAACTTGAAACACTCCATGCTTCAGATCACAGGAATATGAGAACATGGTTGGGAAAGAAAGGTTGGTCAACAGGTAGTCACAGGAGACATTAGACCTCTGGGTATCTCTAGTGTGCAGTCAAGTGATGCTTTCCTGCAGATGTGTAGCTTATATAAGTAATGTCATTGTCTCCCTAAACAAAAACACAAATAAAAGAGGTAGAAGGGACTCCACCGTGGGAAATATAGGAAGGGGACCCCTTCAGGTGGATGAAGAAGAAGCACTGGGATGGCTACTATGCAGAAAACTAAGGCAGCAGTCAGTCCAGAGCCTCTAGGGCTCCGATAGAAGCACCTAGAAAGAAGACAGTAGAGAGATCCTGATGAGCAGAGAGATCCAGATGGACACAGAGATCCTGATGGGCTTGGGCATGTAGAAGTGGTTTGGAAATGGTTTAGCATACATTCTTGACCAGCACATAGAACACTAATCAAAAACCAATTCTAACAGCTCCAATTTCCTTTGGTTATTGGTCTTTCTGAAAACAGTTGTACAATGCAGACATGCAGTACTGTATGCATGCAGCTGAGCTGGGAAAGACATAGGCCTAGTCTTCAGAATGCAAACACTGAATATCAATTAACCAGAAATACATAGTAAAAAGGTCGCAGACTTTAAAGCTTATGGTAGAATCTATGAAATAATGTCTAAATCTGAAAATGAAAGCAAGGCAATACAAATACATTACCTCTGAACTTGAAAGTAAATGTGGAAGAAAGTTCCAGAAGATTTGAAAAACGGAACCATGAAGTGAGAAGCGGCATGAAAAAGAATTTGAGTTTTGCCCTAAGCTGCACAGTATGATTTGACTTTGAAAACTATATTTGTGGATTTATACAGAGGCGGTTCACTGAACAAAGGGATTATCTCATTGCCCTGTTTTCTTGAACAAAAATAGAGAAGGGCAAATGCTTCTGTGTGTTTTGTGTTTGATTTATAGGAAAGAAAGGGCTTCTTGGCTGGCTGTTGACCTACGGTAAGATGGTGCTCTATTTCAAGCAGTGTTTGCTTTAAGCGTGCACACTTCTGTTTGGCTGACATTACAAACATAAGAATAAGGAACTACAACAATTAGGTGGAGATGAAGGATTTGCTACCCATAGAACACTACTGGACAGTAAAGAACCAGGAGAGTGTGTTTAAAAGCCATGGACTCGCAAGTGTGTTTAGAGTTCCGTAGCCTCAGAACCATGGTGGGGAAGAAAGCAGTAAGATTACTAACTGCAGTGGGAGTGATGCATGCTGGGTCTGAGTGCAGTGCATGGATTTCTCCAGTGGCGTGAATAATTATGTCAGTTCAGAGCCTTCGCTTTAAGGATGTGATGTTGTTCCTGAGAGCTGCCTTTTACCAAGGTGAAATCCCCACAGTCGCAGCGTTTACAGGCCCATCTGCACCTTCAGATGCAGCGAAGTGTCAGATCCCAGCAGGGAGTGGTGCACCGTGTAGCAAAACTCAGTTGTCAATAGCAACAGCAAAGAGGAGCCATTTTTCTGTGAACCATGAGGACCTGATGTGACCAGGGTAATTTTCTTTAAAGATGTAATAGTCTTAACTGTTACATCTTCAAAATGAAAAGGCTTGACCTTAAACTCCCATTTGGAGAGCAAATGCTTTATTTCAACCGTGACAGGAGCACAAGGGGATGGAGAATGTTTGCCTTGTTCGCTTCTCTTAGACGCACAGTGTTACCTTCAATTATCTTACCTCATCTCTAGAATTTCACCTGTCTGCTCAGCGCTGGGCAAGCCCCAGTGCCCGAAAGCCGTCTGCCTACTGACATCAAACCACTGCCATGTCGGAATCACTGGAGCAGAATCCGTCTGATGATGACCCACCACAACTCAAGTGTCCTAGATACTCCATGCTCCATGGAATTAGAAAAAA